AAGCAAGAAATCGCATCCAAGCTCTCGGACAATTGACCCATATACATATATTTTGAATATCCTTGATCTGGATTTATTGAAATGGCTTTAGAAAAATGCTGGAATCGAAGATAGTAATAAGAATGAAAAAAAAAAGAGAGGGAGAATCATAATTGTAATGATAATGATAATCAATTAATTAAAGATGATTTTTTTTTTTTTATTAAAAATTACTATTATCTATATCTATATACAAAATGATATCGAAAAGAAAAAAAGTTCACTAATTAAAAATAATGAATTTGATGATTCAAAACGCCGCCTCCCAACTTCGATTTCCAAATGTAATCACACACATATCTATCTATTGTCTTTTTCTTTTTTCAAAAAGGAAAAAAACAAAAAAATGCACTCGTAAAACCTTACCTCTTTCGCTTCATCAAACATTCCCAATTCAATTTCCACCATTCCTAAAATCTCCAAAACCTGTAAATTATCTTGCTCCATGCTTAAGGCTCTTTTGGCAAATTGAAACGCTAATTGATAATCACAAGTATCTATCAACGAAGAGATTTTCGTCAAGAGATCTGATACGTTATAAGAAACTCCATTATTGGTGGTGACATTATTGCTTTTTGTGTCTACAATGTCTTGCATCCTTTTGAAAGAAATTTTATTTTTTGTCGATTTGATCCGGTGAAAAAAAAAAAAATATTTTAAAAAAATTTTAACGGATCGGATTTTTTGATGCGATCACGTGTGATTTTATCAACAAATTTGATTGAGAAATTTGTAAGACCCAAATGGTAAAAAATGGTATTTATTCCGAAGGATCGAGAAATATTCAAAATCAAGATTCTTGCCATTGAGATTTCAGCCTAATTAATGAATTTGCTTACATGAATGACGATTTACTGCATAGATTAATTACTAAAAGCACTGGAAAAAAAAAAAATTTCTTTCAATGAGAACAAATAAAGTAAATTATAATAATTAAATAAAACCAGATATTCTTTATTCAAAAATGATGCATTATTTTTTTTTTTTTTTAAATACAATGGCCTTTCCCGACCCGGCTTTTGATTCGATTTTCCTTAAATGAGGTTATGTATAACTTTCCTTATCAAAATTTTATTTAATTTTTTTTTTTTCCTTCGCCAAATGCAAAGAATGAACCTTTTTCGATTACGAGAGAAACGAATGATCTTGTCAAATAGGAAAAACCGTACTATTTTTCCTTTCATATGTTACCTGTATGCGAAATGTCGCGTTTATGCGTAGCCAAGCCTAATGAATTACGATATGAATCGGATAATGGGATAATGAGAATCATCACGGGGCAGGCAAGAGTTTCATTCGATCTTTTTTTTGGCGTAAAAAGAATATTTGCCTTAAAAATAAAAAATCTTTTTAAATAAGGTTTTTTTTTAAGAAAAAAAAAGAAAAAAAAAGAAAAAGATTTTTTTTTTTTTTTTTTTGTCGAACCATATGGCATGGCTAATTTTTTTTTTATTTACCTCATTAAACCTTATCAGAGGATGACTTATCTCAAAAATGAAACAAAAAAAATTTTTTTACACAATTTGATTAATGAACCATTTTATTCACATTGTACTCTAATTTCTCACCATGTCCAAATATGGTATAAACATTCCATCCAATGAAAAAAACACAACTAAGCCAATAGGAGCAACACAGCCATAATGATCCATCAAGTTATTTTAGCAGAATATCATAACTTTATTTTATAGTATTGAACTTTAATTTACTTCTTATTAAAGTTTGGACTTTTTTTAACATACACTTTACCTATTTTAAATAAAGGTTTTTTTGTCAAAAAAGTTGAACCTTGAATTCCCAACACGTATTGGTACCCTTTGTGTGTTCGAGTTTTTTTTTTTCCGTTACAGGAAAAAGAATTTGGCGGGAGAATGTGTGGTCCCATTGAGTAGCGTGACACCGAACATCGATAAAGTTAAATGGAAGAGAAACATCCTATAAATCGGAAGGATTAGATGATGAGTCGATGAGTCAACAAAGGGTTAGAGAAAACCAACAGAAGGGGGATTTTACCTTAACAAAAAAAAAACCCTTGCAGGTAAACTCTTTCGGTTTAGACGGTGGGCAACCAAATTTCCAGAGATAAATAAGAAATGATATTTTAATTCGTTGGTCCGTCTTGCGTTCTTATTTGTTTATTGTTTATTTGCAAACAACTTTGCATTTTTGTTATTTGCCGATTTTACCCTAATAATATATATATAATGTATTTTAACTTTTTCTTAAAAGTCAGTGCTTCAGGAAATCAGTCAATCCGATTAATTTGGTATAGAATCATCCTACATTTATTTAAGTTCTAATTATGGCATAATCAGTTTTATGGTATGACCATTGATTAAATGGACACTAATAATAGAAAAAATCTAGTTTTCATTATTTGTTTATTTATTTGGAAGGATAAGAAAAAAACAAAAAAACAAAAGAACAATATATTTGTAACATGTCCATTCTTTCCCTTCTATCAAAGCCCAAAAAATTTTTATTCCTTGGGCTTTAATATTAATTTTTAAAGAAAAAATCGTGCCGAAAACGAGTTTATTTGTTTATACTTCATATCAACATGCAATTCACTACTTATAAATTTGGAAAAAAGAAGGATAATAGTGATATCATGACATTGTATTTCATGTCTATTGTTAAAATTCATCTTTTTCTTTTTTATCCCAAAGAAAAAAAAAAACATGAAAGCACACACACGGGAATGGTTTCGAAACGAATGGCTTTATTTATTTATTTGTTTTTTTATTTTTTATTTTTTTTTATAAAACGTTATATGAAACTCTCCTAAATTTACCTAAAAAGATAAGAACTTAATAAATTTTTTTCCTCTCCGACTTAAGATTTAATTTGATTTGGTCATAAAATTTTATCAAATTATCATAATGATAATGATAAGGGGATGATAATGTGTGATCGACTCATTGTTTTTTTTATTTACATTATTCTCGACTTCTCAAAGGGAGACTTGAATCAACATCTTAACATCATCGTCAATGTACTATTTTGACTTTTTGTCAAGGGAAAGGATCATCATAATTTGGCTAATATGGCGTAAAAGGGTAGAATTTCGTTTAACTCATGATCAATTTTGATCAATTTTGTATGACCTTATACAATTTTTTTTCTTTTTAATTTTTTAACCGCAAAGGATAACTTTTTTTCCTTGTTTTGTTCTACAAATTTTAAAAGTCAAATAGTTCGATATTCCACCTACACCAACATTAACTGCAACACATTCACGTTCTTATCTTATCAGATCGTTCACCTAGTATCCATCCAAGTGACGGAGTAAATATTTGTCGAGTTGACATGTTTTTTTATTTGCATACGTCAATTCGTTGGTTAAAATATATACTATACAATATAAATATGTTTGAAACTCAAATCAATTGGTGTAATTTGTGCGCGTTGTTGATGAACACTCCGAATTGCGGAAGGAGGAGAGAAAAAAAAAAAAAAAAAGAAAATAAGAGTCATTGTTAACCTAAAATAAAGACATTGTTACATTGTTACATTTTATTTTATTTTTTTTTTTTTAGACATTATTAATTTCCTTTTTTCCCTTGATAACGGTTTTTTCTTTGAGATAAAAAAATATATTTCAACATCGAATCGTTTTTTACCAAACTGGACCGTTGATTTTTATACCAGATGAGAAATGAAATTTTTTTTTTTTTTGAACAAAGGAAGTTGGTTGATATTCTCGTCCCAACAAAGAAGAGGCGCAGTCACACTCCAATTGCATCAAGCAAGGAGGCGTTGAAAATGTAATCGTTAGAATGCATTGGACGCAATATGCGGAAGACTGAAAATGAAATTGTGTTTCCAGAATGTCACTTCATGTGAAACCACGAAATGATATCATTCAAGTCCTAATGTAAACCATATAAAAAATGAAAAGGATAAAAAAAAAAGGATAAAAAAGGTAAACCACACAACTTGGGTAACTTAATAATTCTTGTGCTTGTTAAACGATCTTCACATATTCATGCCGAATTCGAGCTCAATTTAACCCCCACTTGACCTAGAATATCTGAACCTCTCTCTGAAAAAGAGAAATATTAAAAAAATCTCTACCTCTCACTTTTTATATCATTTATACGAAAAAAGAATAACATTATAAAAAATAATTTTTTTTTTTCTCCTTCTTTCGCTGAATACACACATATAAATAAAAAGATTTTTTCACTTGTTTTCCTCTTATTTTATAATTTTATTTTATTTTATTTTTATTTTAAAAGAAGAAAATAACTGTGTACTATACCCTGTGGAGTCATCGTTCAAAGATCAAAGAGGTGGTAGTTTAATAAATTCCCCCTTTTTTACTGTTTATTCCCATCCTTTCCCCCTTATTACCTAATTTTTTTTTTTTTTTTTTTTTATCCCTTTATATATTTTATACTGATACTTTATATCAGAATAAAAAAAAAAAAAAAAAAAAAGGATATCATAGATTAAATAAACCGGCTTTTTTTTTTAATATACTATATATATAGATACCAGCTTTTTTACATCACCAAAAAAAAATTTTTATTTCTGAAAAAAAAAAAAAAAAAAAAAAAAGAAACCAAAATAGTTTCAAAAAGAAAACTTACTTGAAAAGATTTTTCTTTTTTTTTTTTTTTTTAATAAAAAAAAGTCTCGAGAACAATAGAAAGAAAAGAAAAATTTCCAATTTACAGAAAAGAATACTTTGAATAGTAGAAATCATATCATTTAACTTTCAGGGGTCAAAATCTTCCTTTCGAGAAAATAAAAATTATCATAGACATTATTTTATAACATAATTAATAAAAAAAATAAAAAATATGACGAAGGATGTAACGCTTCCGATAACGCAAACAAATACCACTACCACGACAAGTGCAAATACCACAACCACCACAATAACCCCTCCAACTGTTCCTCCGGATAATAATAATACTAGTGAATATCAGAGAAATTATTCTTGGAAGCTGCCAATGGTCTCAGTACATAGACCAAAAGAACGAACGAAATCCGAATATCAACGTGAATTTACATGGAAAAACGATACTCCTCCCGCTACACCACCCGCTCCATCACCTGCACCTGTTGCCCCCTCCCCCATACCACAAGAGTCATTCACTGCTTGTAACACTCCCGAACCAGTAAAATCATCGTCTAAATCAAATACGATGAATGCACCTACTAGTAATGCTATTGATTATATAGGATCAAAATTAGCGGACCTAAATATCACTAGCAATATTAATAATAATTATAATAATAATAATAATAATAATAATTATAACAATCAAAATCAAAATAATATTAGTACCGGTAATAAATACAATGCATTCGATCCAGAATTGGAAAAATTCTCGGCTAATAATGCTGCCGACAAATGGAAAGATGGTTTACGAAATAAAAATTCTCCGGAGGTAATTGTAGTGGTTTTGCCTTTTATGGTTACCATTATATATTCTGCGCCATTCTAATCCTTTTTTTTATTTTTTAGTCGAGACAATCAACACTTGCCTCAAGTCTGGATCATCAAACGAAAAAGATTGTAGCTTTAGAGGCGAATCGCCTTTCCAAAAAATCTCGTTCTTATTCAATGTACTCTTTACATGATCAATTAAAAGTAGCGGAAGCTGCGAGGGATTTGTCAAGTCCTTACGAAACTGAATATAAACGTGAATTTGTAAACTGGAAGGAATACGGTACCGCCGTAAGAGAAGATACGGCGGCAAATAAGAAGAGTCAGGTTGTCGACCATACTTTAAAGCGAAGAGGTTCTTGGTCTGCTCCTTCTTTGCCTGCTCCTCTTAAATGGCTGGAAGGTTTGAATTTAGAGATTGGTTCACGTGATAAGTTACAACCAACCGTAACTGATGCTAAATCTATAAGAGGCATAACAACCAAGATAACTGCCAAACCTTCATTACAACGTCCGTCCACCTCGGCCGAATTTCGCGACTATCATTATGATAACAAACGTCCCACCACCTCGGCAGAGTATCGCGACTATCATTATGATGACAAACGTCCCACCACCTCGGCAGAGTATCGCGATTATCATTATGATGTCAAACGTCCGACCACCTCTGCAGATTATCGCGATAACCATCATGATGGCAAACGTTCGAACACCACAGAGTATCGTGATGCTTATAGTAATGGCAACCGTCCGACCACTTCTGCAGATTTACGTGATTACTCCCGTCCCATGACGTCCGCGGAATTACATGATTATCATAATGATGACTATTATGGTTCAAAACGTGATGGTAATTCAACTTCAAGGAAAGAATCTCCATTACGTTCTTCCACAACGATGGGTTATTATGATGATCGTGAACAACATAATAGTAACAGGCGGGATCTTGATTATTTGGATGGTCGTAACGATAGAAAATATAGCGATCGTAAACGAGAGATTGTTTATGATGATCGTCGTCGAGAAAATGAATACGATTATCGTAGACGGGACGACAATGGTTATGAGAAGGAACATGACTCTAAATATAATAGTCGACCCGTGCAAACCTCTGATCAAGAATATTATAACCTTGATCATTCCAGAAACCTTTCATATTCTTCATCAAATAAGGGTTCGGTTCATGATGAGCCAACAGGTTTATCCGGAACGACTCCTTATTTGGAGGCATTGCGTCATCGGTCTAGTGTTAGTTCTGTAAGTTCCGTATCAACGCCGAGTTCACCGGCAACTCCAAATGGTTATGATATCAATGATTTACGTTGGAGAAGAAGTAATGGTTTGGATCCACGTATATATAAAGAACAATATTATTCTCCTTCAATAGCTTCAAAATCTTCTTCAGGTTCACACAAGAATTGGCACTTTGAAGATGAAAAAGATAAATATTATCAAACCGCTTCTAGAAACAATTTTTATTTGGATGATGATGATGATGAATCCCTTGGAGGTTATTCGAGTAAACATCAATCTCGTGATTATAAACCACACAATTCTGCCCTAGCGCGTGATGGTTATGGAAGGAAACCACAAACGTATTCAAATTATTCTTCACGTCCACCGTCACGTGCTACAAGTGTCAGCAGTCACGGAACTTCAATAGAAGAAGAATCTGCTATACTTACAGACATGCTTAAAGAGGCTGATTTGATGACACTAAGAAATTTAACTGATCAAATGAGTGTATTTAGACACAGAGATTTTGATGTTGGAGGAGTTCAAAAAGGAGTTCCAAAAGGAGTCCAAAAAGGAGTCAAGAATACAGGTCGTTCCACACCTGTTGTTAATACTACCAAGAAGCCTTCTCTTGTTGCTGGTCAGAAGAAACCTGCAACGACAACAACTAAAGCAGGTATAAAAACATCAAGGACGACAACTACAACAAAACCGTTAACAAAAACACCTACGAAAACAGGTGTAAAGACCACCACCACCACCACGACCACGAGAGGAACAAAGAGCAATCCCACACCTGGAATTCCTCCTAATAAAAAGAAAGGTCATCGTCCGACTTCTTCATTAGCTTCCGTTTCTTCAATATCTTCAACCTCCTCATATCGTGAAGCATATCAAGATTATTCAAGGCCTCCTCCAACAAATTTCTCTGCCGCAAGAGAAGCTTTAAATAGAGCAAGAATGAAGGTTGAAGAAATGTTGGAAATTGTAAGCAATGGTGGTTCCTTAGATTAATATATACATATATATTAAATTGACATTATTTATCAAATTCTCTTTTTTTTTTGGACAAAAAAAAAAAATTGATTTGTTGATATAATAATAAAGACATTCTACAATGCTGATCAGAAACTAATGTAGAATGAAAAAAAAAAAAATTCCTTATTTTCATATTATAATGGAATAAACATAATAGACCACATTATCATTCTTTGCCAATTTCTCTTTCCTTCAAGAAATAATATTAGTATTTGGTGCAATTATTAAAATAAATTAGTATTAAGAGAAGAAGCAAGCGAACTATTATTTATATCATTAGAAGAAATATTAACAAATATTTATTGAGCTAATAATTTAACGAAACTTCAACAACTTATGCTTTCCCGCTCATACTATCGCATTTTTTTTTTCCTTCACAACATATTTACATTTTGCATTTTAAATTTTTCAATTTTTTACATATATCTTTGTAATTTTAAAATTCATTTTGCCACTTTACATATTTTCCCCTTGCATATAACTCATTATCTCCTATATTTCTTTTCCGCTTATTTGTCATTAATTAGCATAAATAATCAAATTTTCACGGTGACGCGATGGCGTTACTAAGTTGGTTATGAAAATCCAATTTGGTATTAGAAAGGACCACCTTTCTCGTATTCTAAGCTTTAAATCACCTTTCTTGTAATATATTATGTCTTTTTAAATAATCCTTGCAATTTTTTTTCTGTTTTTCTTTTTTTCTTGGATCGAAATTATCTACTTTGTTTATATTCTTTCTGAATTGATCCAAAGAAATCTTTAATGAACAAATTAATGATTAACCTCAACACATTTTATGATTTAACGACTTAACGACTTTACGACTTTACATACATACATTTTTAACATTTTTAACGAAATCTTATGAAAAAAAAAAAAAAAAAAAAAAAAAATCTTATTGTTTATATCATTTAATATTCCCCATAATTATTAGTTCAAATTATTCAAAAGAGAAGAAATTTATTCTTTACTCTATTAAAAAATTTCATTTAAAGTTCGCTTGTTTTAGACTTTGCACCAAATTAGTTATACAATGAATATTTGTTCTTTTTTTAGTCATCATAGAAAAAGAAATGAAAATATCATTTGTGAATTATTACCGTTAATATAAATTTACTCTCATGCAAGTTTATTGTTTAATTTCAAAGGTAGTTCTTGGAAACTACAGTATTTATTAACTTTGCTGTTTCATATTTTTAAGTACCGAAAAAAAAAAAGAAAGCTCAATAACTGGGTGAAGAATGATAATAAATAGTGCATCTAATTTTGATAGAATATTTATTTTAGAATTTGATGAAATAATCTTTTTTATTTTATTGTGGTGATATAATGGTTTTTTTCCTTTTCGTATATAATTATCATATTTATTTTGTATTTTTAGTTTCTTTAAAAAAAAAAAAAAAAAAATTTGAGAATCATAATAAAAAAATATTTTTTTTAAAAAAAAAAACCCTTTTGAAACAATTCAAGTGAATAATTTTTTTAAAAAGAATGATTAATCCGCAATCAATTATATAGATAATAAAATCAAACTTTAAATAAATAGAATAAACATCAAAGCTTTAAAAATTATTGGTAAAATTAGAACTAGATATAAAAGTCACATGCGCGTAAGCGCATGTGATTTTCATATTATCTCGGAATAACCCAAGTAATCCGTAACGAAGTATGGAATAACAGGCTTTATCCCATCGGTATTATGTATACACCGATGGATTTTTTTCCTGAAGATATTTTTTTAGGTTTATTACTGTCTAAAGTATAAATGAAGAGTCAATTAAACCTTGAAAAATGTAACATATACAAATAAAAAGGAAATTTATTGATACAATATTTACATTTATGTTCTTCAGTTTAATTTATTTTACAAGCTAGGAAACGACAAGCATTTCTAATTCTACGCGAAAAAAAGAAAATCCAAATTGAATATACATGTCAGAACATCATATTGTTCAATTCCAAACAATTAAAGATGTACATTTTCACATATTCATTACTAGTAAATTAGGTATTATAAATTTAAATACACATTTTGTTGTATTAATATAATTATAAATCAGTGGAGTAATTGACAAAAAAATCAATCGGTGTATACATAATACCGATGGGATAAATTTTTATATATTATCGGATCATTATATTCGTTTATTTACATAAGTATTATATACTACCCTACAATAAATTACCGGATTTTATAAATTTTACTTAATAATTTATAGTAAAATTGAAGATCTTCAAGTTATATAAATGTTTACTAATTTTCAATAAAAATCATCTGATTTTTTTTTATTTAATAGCTGATCAATTATAGTTTTTAGATATTAAAATGAAAAAAGAAAAATTTTAAAACATGAAAAACTTTTTTCATTTTGAAGTATAAGCAACTATTTTTTTATATGTTTTTTGCATTTTTTATATATAAAATTATTTTATTTATTACTTTAAAAATGAGTATTTTTTGGCATTTTATAAATAAAATATTTTTGAATTATATTTTTAAAATTATAATTGATTGGCTATTAAATAAAAAAATATAATATGTATTTTATTAAAAATTCATAAACTTTTATATAATCTAAAAATTTTCAATTTTATTATATATTACTAAGTAAAATTTATAAAATCCGGTAATTTATAGTAGGGTAGTGTATAATAATTGTAAAGACTCTTCATTTTTATAGTATTATGAACCATATAATTCATAATTCTCATGTTTTTCATCACAAATATAATATAGTGAGCTTTACAGCTGAGGTGATGCAAAATTATAATATTAATTCCTCTAAAACTATTTTCAAATTTCAAGTATGAAAAGTGCTCTAACACATATTTGATAATTAATTCTTGATCAGGTTTGGCTTCAAAAGTGATAGGCATTTTTTCTTTATATTGCTTAGAAAAAGATAAATAGGATACTTTGTTTTCTGACTTTAAATTCTAAGAAGAAGGACTTTTGATAATTGTTATAGCTCATTTTCAGTTTCTTTTTTATATCTTTTGTATAAATTGAAATGAATTTTATCTGTCAAAATGCTTGGTAATCCACTTAATTTAGAATGCTAATCCAGATATTCAGGAGTTAATATTTTATCAAACTTGGTCATATCTAAATTTTATATAATTATGAGTCAATTTAAATTCCTTTTATTCTCATATTTATTCGAAAAAAAAGATTAAATTTCTCTAATAGAAAGCTTACTAATATTTTTTATCATATTTTTAAGAAAATAGTTAAGCTATTTTTCAAAGTATCTATAGTATAAGAAAGAGTAATAAGACTATGTAACTATCTCAATTTCATGCTGTTTGCATTTAATAAAATAGGATCTGGCTTCATATCTACTTTTTATACCTTTCTTATCATCATGATCTAACTTGCATAATAGACATGAAGTCTCATCAGTAATTCTATAATAATTAACATTTTCATTACTAAATTCTCTATATAAATTAGGATATTGATCTAATGCTTTGTTGCAAAATAGGCGTAGTCATAGGTTGGCTAAGATGCAATTATCACTTACATCTCTGATATATCAGTTTATTGATTTTTAAAGTCACGTATCCATTTTAATTTGAAACGGAGTCATCATAATCTATATCATCTGTATTGATAGCTTTTGAAAGAAATTATTTATAATGTCCTAGATCTGATTATTAGATAAATTCAAGATAGCATTTGCACTATAGCTAATTATTTGAATTCTATTTATTTCTATTCCATCAAATAATATATAGATTTTTTAGTTCTGAAAGTTATTTTACATAAGTTTACATTAGTAATGTCAGGAAGAAGGGGTTTGATTTCACTGTACACTAATATTCTTGCTAATTTGTCATCAACACCATTTTTAGACTTAACATTCCTGTCTCAATCCTCATATGCTTTATAGTAACAATACTAGCATAAAATCTTCTTACGTCTAAGCTTCATTACTACTCTAAATAGATCAACTATATTCTGTACTATAACTTCACTAGATCCTATTAGAATTGCTTCTAAAGAGAGTTTAAGAATCTGAATATCAAATGCCTTATTAATCTTACCATCACCAACTTCAGTAAAGGATAGCTTTCACCTTAAATCTTGCTCTACTTTTTGATTATAAGGAATTTTTTGACACTTTGTTTTTATATTTTCAGAAACCAGAATTTGTTTATCTGCCATAGGCGATTTTACTGGCGATATTTAGCAGATGATTTATTATTAAAGATAACTGACTTACAGGTTGGAATTGATTCTTTGACTACCTGTTTTAGGATAGTTACAAGTTTAATGCCAGTCATAGAGAGGTCCTTCTCACAATAAATCAAGTCTGAAGTAACAGAGGATAAGTCTTTAGCAATTATCTTATTCTGAACATTCTTTTCTCGTCTACTCTCTCTAATTTTATCATTAATTCTTTTCTTATTTATCTCAATCAAGAAAGCATTCATCTCTTTTTCTTCTGATATCTTAGTATTATCATTATTTCACTGATTTGATACAGAGCTAAATAAATCAACATCTGATACAGTTTACTCTACAAACCTCTTTAATATTAATTCTTTATATACAGTAGCGGTCATAAGTATCCGACCACCTCTAACTCCAACTACAAGTAAGTAAATTCAAAAAATTTTTTTTATTTAAAATACATAATCAACTAATTAAAATTAATATATTGTGTAGTCACCATCTGACTCTATAAGTGTAGCTATATACCTTTTTATGCTAGCTACTAAATTCGTAGCAAGTACAGGTGATAATTGGTTCTATTTTTTTGTAGGTTTTCCTTTAACCCTCTAATTGAACGAATTTTTTTTTGTATATTAATTTTTATAAACCTTCAAATGTTTTTTTAAGGGTTTTGGTCTAGAGACATTGATGGCCAAGAAACTACTTCAATGCCATTTTCTTTCTTTCATTTTTTCACGATTTTCAATTGATACTTTGAATCATTATCTTCTTGCAAGATCCAATCTATATTACCTTCACCAAAAAGTTTAGAGGTGAAAGCCAAAAAATCCTGCTCATAAATAATATACATAAATTTAGTATTAAGGTTTCTCTAAAAGCAAAATAGCTTACCAAATCTAAAAGCAGAAAAACATTCCTAAATATGAACTTTTAGTGGATGCTTAACAGAACGAAACACTTTTTTTCTACCAAGAAACTGCCAAACCTTTTTTTTGATATATATAATTAAAATGTATTCTCATCTGTAAAAACAACTCGATTCCAATCAAAATTCTTATGTTTTTTTGCCTATTGCAACCTTTTCTTTTGATGGTCTTCTTTAAGCAAAGGTTTAGAAATTTCATTACTAAACTTTCCTCCAGACTTACGAAGACGTCGCCTTACT